ATGGCTCCTAATGATGATCATTATTAAAGTGCTGGGTTTTCTGCGACTCGTCAATGACTTACAATGCACTCCAGTAACCCGCAGCAATGACCTCAATGATTCATAGTGCAAAAACATTTCATACATGCAAACACCAGATACTAACAGACCCAAACATGCAGTACCAGCTCATACCTGTTTGTACAAGTTGCTGCTTCTCAAAGTCATTCATTAATCCACCAATGCAGAACCGCATAGCAGAGTAGATTGATAACCTACAGGAGGATATGTCAATAATAACACCTTGTGACTTTTCAACAAGGAGGAGTCACTTGGCTGGAGCGAGTGGAACACAGGAAACTATGCCTCCGTCTAATTGACGCACAATTTCTCAAGTGCCAAACTGTTATCTTTATTACTCTTTGGTTCTTTCGGTAAAGTCACGTAGGTAGAACAAATACTAGATCACGACGTTTCGATCGCTACACAAGCGACCGTCTTCAGGTGAAGACTTTCTCGAAAGAACCAAAGAGTATGGATTCCTGCAGTCACGAAAGCTTTAAATCAAGATTGTTATCTTCATTGTAAAAAATGTAAGAAGCAGACTCACAGTCATAAAAATGTTATGGAAAACAATGTTTCTTCATTATTTTTTTGCATCTTGGATGTATGACTTTTTTTAAATATAACTTTAAGAGCAAAACATATATCCATTTTAAATTATCCTTTGACAAAACCATCCCAAATGTGCCCGATCGTCAGATCTCAGAAGCTAAGTTGGCTTGAGCCTCAATAGTGCTTGGATGGGTTGACCAGCGTGCACACATACGTTGTGGGCAGTCGAGGCGAGTGTGGCAAATGCCGCTATTGATCTGTACTCCACGCACCTTCACCAACCTGCACTGACCAGCGTGGTGAAGTATGGTCAAATATCTCTCACGGCCCACAAGATGTGGGCGGGCGGGGGGGGGGAGGCCCTAATACAGCAGTAGATTGACAAAACGGGCAGCATATGTAAGTATTAAAAGTAATACTGTATTGGTAATTTTATTTGGAATAAACATGTTTAAAAATATAAATATTATGCGTCATGTATGCGATTCACATTTGCTTCATGCTAGAACAGTTGTAAAAAGAGGCAGGGCGCAGGCTCAGACAAGATCGTCTGGAGTCTGCAAGGAATGTCCTGCAGAGAGTACAAATTAGCTTTGAGAACACCACTGATTGGGGACAACATTCACTATTTGGTCATTTATCAATCCTGCAGCCACATGCCTAATTCAGCGAAGAGAGGAAGAACACTGAAGAAAGGAAGGGAACTGAGTGGAAGGGACAAGGGGAGATTTGGTGAGTAAATACCCAACGGTGTGGAGGTTAAATTTTCACTTCAACATTAAAATGAAACTACATTCATTAATCGTATGCAAATGTTCACCCAGTTGCATAATAAATACCATCACAACTGTAAGTACATTAAAATGAGACAATGCGACGCACCTGATAATAACACTGTAAACAGCACGGACATCAAATGAGAAATAATGCTTCTCTGATCCCATGTTATAACAGATCGGGGTGGAGCTGTGACAAGAGTGGTTGGCACACTGTGCAAGAGCCTAATGACCTAATGTCAATTCATGGCCACAGCTACCATTAGTGCCTAGTGCTAAATAAACTGGTCCTAAGCCTCCAATCCTTAAGCGAGCACGCAAAGACAAGTGTAGTAAAGTACGGTCAAATAACATGCCATGAGGAGGCCTTCATTCAGCAGTGGAATGATGGAGGCCTGAACATTATTGTTTATACAAACATTTTCAAATCTGTTTCTTGCAATGTATTAATAACACTGATACATCATCAGGAATAATACTGAAGTTTAACTATTGAAAGTAAACTGTTATATTTTACCTGGTAAGGCCCACTGAGATAGCTCTCTTTCATAAGTGACCTGGCCGAATGATAGCTCAACGAAGTGGCTAATCATGTGGCAATTTATAGCAGCCATATACTCTAAACGGTGGACCCGGAGAAAAATCCACACGACCACAGGGAGGACATGCAAACTCCAAATATGCAGGCATCAGGGCTGGGATCAAACCCACAACCTCCTGCATACCAGACAAGGTAATTAACATATTCTTGGTACTTATTATATTTTTATGATTTTATTGTTTCCCTTCTACATGACTTTACCGAAAGAACCAAGAATATGAATTCCTGCAGTCACGAAAGCTTTAAATCAAAACCTTTATTATGAAAATTTAAGGTAATTAACATGTCACCACCGTGTTCATTTGGTGCCCAGTGAGGAATGGAGGAGAGTTCGATTTATCGGAAATTCCACAGTGCAAAATCACCCATCCAAGCAGCAGACACTGATAGTGGGTACAATGCACAAGGAGGGACTTTCAACTCAACTGGACTTTAAACATGTCTGGGTCACATAAGTCTTTTTGTAAAAAAAAAAAAACGCAAAGTGGTCTGACAACTGGGGGCCAGAGAGTGGGCTAGAACGTTAATGTCACTTGCCTTTCAGCAGGAGGATGAATGTGGTCCTCAAAACCCTGGTCTTTGTGTGCTCGGAATATGCATGATCTATACACGACTATCAATAAACAGATCACAAAGTGATGTGAATCGTGACTGAGAACAACGTTGGCCATGACAATAAATTGGGCAAACGCATGGGGTTACAAAGGAGTGGGTGCGGTCTGACATTTAAAAAAAAATGCGCTGAAAAAAAACAGTCGCCTCTCCAGAGTGGCCAAACAACTTTGCCTCGTTAATAAATTGCATAATTTACATTGCGCACATCAGCTGTGTTGCATAGGCAGGAACTGACAACTTGGGTCTGACCGACACCACCTCCCTCCATTTGAATCTCAAAACAAGTCAAGATCGAAATGCAGCCCAAATACGCCGAAGAATTATATACATTGCTGCAGAAGTGCCAACCATAAGGTTCACGAGCTGCACTAACGTTTTGCGTGCTTTGCTATCACAGGAAACCATTGTGGTGCGAATGTTCTCTAACCCACACGTTCGCCTTTTTGTTTCTCAGTATAATAACAAAAATCCCCCTCTTCATAATCATTTGCACACTTTACAGCTTTTATTCCCATTATCCTTGTTTTTGATCCGTGTTTTGAACTTCTTTTTCACCAGTAGGTAGCCAACAACGCTAATCCAAGGTGCAAAGGTCGTGGTGGATAATGTGTACTGATTAACAAACTGTCATATGTAAGTACAATGAAACGTTGACTTCGATGAGCAAGTTGAGTTTATCAAAATCCCTCCAATCTGCCCTCGCCTACCTCATCATTGAATCATTTTGATCCCAGCCCACCTTAAAAAAAACTGTCCTCGGTGTAATACCCTGATGTGTTTTCTAATTGTGTGCCCCTGGCAGATATCGTCAAATTGTTTGCAAACATATTGTCTGTGACTTTTCTTTTGCTCGCATTCGTCTTCAGCCCCCACTTTGTCGCTTTATTTTATTAAGTTCTTGATAAGTAACCATAAAATTGTAGAACATCGCGCAGTATTCACTCGCTCTCGAAAAGAGAGAATGGCTCAGAGGTGCAAGGAACCACAGACAAATGAGAAAGGCCGCCAGGCGGTAAAAGTATGTGTCAAATTCCACCCCGCACCCTACCCAAGCTCTGCAGTCCTCTAATATTAAAGTGTTATCGGCCAATAAATCAGTGTTTATATGTGGGAGGAAACCGGAGCACCTCGAGAAAACCCACGCATGGCGAGGGGGAGAGGGTCAACAACATTTGATCCCACAAACGAAATAGATGGGAGTCCACCACCATTTGCTGTACCGCATTCTCCTGACAAGCCAGGGTTACGGCACCTCATCGATACCCACATAAAGGAAGTTTCACAATATACACGTTAATTTTTACGATCCACCAAATCCTCCCTCGCCCCGCAGTGCTCCACTACCGCCCGTGGTGCATTCCCATTGTTTGTTATAATGACTGTGCCATTGACAAAGATGAGGCGTAATAATAGGGTTTTTCCCCTTTTTTCTGGCAACAAAACTGAAACCTTTTTACGAGGATTCATGTCTGCATTAACCACAATACCTGCAGTCAAAATTCAAACAAAAAACATACTATGATAATATATGCATTGTCTTTGAAATTGATTGGTCCACACCAACAAGGGATGGCTTTCTTTTGAGCCTCGACCCAATTGGTGCTCGACCAGATGACGCCAAGAGGCGCCAAAAGGCGTCATCTGGTCGAGCACCAATTGGGTCGAGGCTCAAAAGAAAGCCGTCCCTTGGTGTGGACCAATCAGTTTCAAGGACAATACATATATTATCATAGTATGTTTTTTGTTTGCATTTTGACTGCAGATATTGTGGTTAATGCAGACATGAATCCTGTAAAAAGGTTTCAGTTTTGTTGCCAGAAAAAAGGAGGAAAACCCTTATTATTACATTTTGGTACTGTAAACATGAGGCAGTTTACAGTTTGTCTCATTTTAAAAGTGGCCAGTCGGGCCAAATAACTTTTACGCCCACAGAATGCAGTCTTGCTTAAAGCAAAGTGATGTAAAACCTGGGCTCCTCTTTACTAGGCACCCATGCCACTACAAATAATAGTTTTTGTTGACACATAGCCTTAAGGGGAACTCAATCACAGGAATAATTGTGGCTACTGCAGGCTTCTATGCAGGACAATATGAAAGATGATTGATTCGGTCATGCTAAACATCCTCTCAATTTTAAGTCTGTTATGAATATAATTTCCAGCTTATAGAAATAAAATAAATACAATATCTGTTGTATACACAAAGACCTCTTTAAAATGTTACCCGAGGAATAAACATTTTTGCGTTTGAAAAATAGCGACAATGTGGAGTTGTCCAGGAATATTTGGGAGCAAATAGTGTAAAATTGATGTTCTATATAACTTAACAAACAACAGATTACAAAATGAAAACAAAGGGATGAAGTATATCAATTTTGAGAGGTGAAAATGAAACGTGTTAACCATTTTACATACCTTCACAAGCTGTATTCCATGGGATCTGAAAAAAAATATGTAAAAAATATGTAAACAAGTATACATTTCTTGCACAAACACTGCACAAAGTAATTTTAATTGTTGACGCAGCAAAAGTGTTGGCTTTTGACCAAATGTGGGCAAATGTTTGTGCTACATGCATTCTTCACTTCATTGCTAAGGAATTGCAGTGCATTTGTGAATTACTTTATTGATTAGTTCCGGTGACAATATTAACAACACAAGACAGCGTAGTTTTCAGGATTTTTAATCAAGCCCATCTCCAAGATATTCTATCCCACCCTCTAAAGAGTGTGTTTTATACCACGGTAAATTTTTAAACATAATCAACCCACAGAGTATTTTTGAGTGGACTCAGAAGAAGCATTTTAGAATATTATGTAATTGAATGACATTACCATGCAAATTAATATGCAATGGAACTCACACAAACACATGGTTAGGAGTAATTTAACATCATTCACACACGCAATTATCCAGCTCAACAACATCAATGTATATTTATAGTTGTTTCACTACATAAACATCAGCCATATGAAGAAGAAAATTGTCAGGCGTGTAAATGAAATATAACAAGCTGGTGGCAGCCCAACCTATGGATGGCATAACAATCCTCACTAAAACTGCAAAAGGGAAGCAAATCTAAACATGTCTAAAACCCCACACAGCATGAAGGGTTTCAGCAATAGGTTTCTTTGACTGAGGTAATAAAACGAATCCCATACATAGCTCATGGTCATAACCTGGTTCCTTCTGGTAAAATACTTACTCTGTTTGACAAAAGTTACTCAAGTGAATCACAGATGGACAAATAATTATATTTTGATTTAAAGATTTCGTGACTGCAGGGATTCATATTCTTGGTTCTTTCGGTAAAGTCACATAGAAGGGAAACAATAAAATAATAAAAATATAAAACAATACAATTATTGTTTTATATTTTTATTATTATAAAACAATACAATTATTGTTTTATATTTTTATTATTTTATTGTTTGTTTCCCTTCTACGTGACTTTACCGAAAGAACCAAGAATATAAATAATTATATATTTTTACAATGTAGATAGATCTTAATTTGACCAATTAAATGTTTATTTCAGCACAAAACTATACCTCCGCCAAATAACACTTCCACCTTTTAACAAGAAGAAAATCCTAGCAAAGGGTCAACTCATCCCAAACAAATCCCATTTGGTTGGAGACACTTGATATTAGTGTTTTGTGTGCACACATTATAACTAACGACACCCTGAAGGCAACTAACATGTACAACTGTAATTCTGTGATCATTTAAATATATTAAAAATGCAAGCTTGTCATCTATGGCAAGAGCATTAGGTGCTGTAATGAAGCATCAATTTAAATTGATTCTCACGTTGATGATCCATCTGTCGAATTGTACGCTTTAAAATACATTATGTAAACAGTATTATGATTTTACTTCTGTACCCAGGAAAACATCACTGAGTCTCAAGGTTCTTCTTCAAGGGGTCCTGCCAAGTTTTCACAGTATTGGGCAATGTTCCTGCTGTCTAATACCAATTTCAGTGATTTGCGGGATAATTTTTCAGCACCGAGATGGTTTTTGACCAATACGAGTTGTATAAAGTGTATGCTTTCTTTAGGTATGGGAGGAAACCAGAGCACCCAGATCAAACCCATGTAGGACAAGCACAAAAATAGATCTCCACTCAGAAGGAGTTTATGGAAATATTAACATATGCTGTTGTATTCGGCTAGGTGTGGGAGAACAATAGTCCATGGGCCACATCTGACTTGCAAATTAATTTCATGTGGCCCATGGCCACATGAGGCTTATCACTTGGAAAATGCCTGCCATACTATATTTATCCAGCACTGCAAGCAGCTTAGTGACACGCATGGGATATTAGAAGGAAATAAAGTTTAATCCAGCAAACGCTGTTTCTAAATTGAGCAAGTTTAGTCATTGCTGTCACTGCAGTAAAGGAGAGCCCGAAGTGTGTTTTATTGTTGGATACTGCTAAGATGTGTGCTACCACCACAGGTATTCGGCCGTCAGTAAAGCTTTCTCACACCAAAACTCAGTTAGAGCGAAGAAAACTGTAGAAATGAGGAACAACCCCCACGTGACTGTAAAAGCCAGACCAAACAAAGAATCTGATGTTGATATCACATTGCGACTTGCAAATCGTGATAATTTATAAAAATGTTGTGGAGGGTGCTGGGGAGGTGTTAATCGTTACACACTGGCAGAATGTCACGGGAGAATGTCACTATTCCTGGACCTTTAAACAATGCAGTATTCTGTAAATCGGTGAGTGACCCGTTTTGTGCACTCTACGTAGGGTGAATCGAACAGATCCCGCGAGACCAGTGCGATCAAAATGTACCCATCATGGCTGTGCGATAATTTGCATGCAGCCATGTCCACGTGATTGGCAAATCAATAGTGTCTTGTGGGCGTATATGACAGCATGGCTGTACCACCCTATTACAGCACACAACAAATAAATTGAATTAATCAGATGATACTTTATAAAACGCAGCCAACAAATTGTAATAAATCCAAGATTATTTTCTTTTTTTCATTCACTTCAAAATGTTTACATATAATTTCTTTATTACGTGCCTTTGCATACTTCAGTTTTAATATTTTAGTCGTGACTAGCAGACGTTTTTTGGGAAAGGTGTACTATCTCGATGCGTCATCGTCAGGATCCATTCTAAGAATTTTATAATGCAAACAAAACACCATTCAAATGTATTTCTTTTTAATCCGAAATTATCAATCGAATGCTTGCTTAAAGCCTCCACAAGTCGTTGCCATCTTTCAATGATCCATCTTTGTCAATCCCATGATGACACAAATGGCTTGCCCGTGTCATTCATAGGGATTGTTTGTCCATATTTTATGGTGCTGGTTAGTGTGGATTACCAAAGAAGGAAGGGGGGGGGGTGATCTAGGATCGGTTCAGATATCACTTGCTACTAACTTTATTCAGCCCCAAGAACTGACCTCAACTTGCCCAGTTCATAGCAATGGGTTAACCACCGCCTCTCATCCTTACTCCTGCATTGTTTTCCAATGAAACAGGGACATTTTTTTTTTAATTACGACGCCTTAATACGTGGACAGATCGATTAAGTGGCATGCAGATTGTTTACAAGCAGAGTGCATGAGTCACGCCCATTTTACACTTGGTAAGACTTGCTCACAGCGGACGGATGCTTAAATGGCGCAACCACTCATGAGCATGGGGTATCAAAAGCCACCAAAGCAATCTCCACGCACAGTCAGCATAACATCCTCTTCGGAGGCCGGCGTTGCTATACTCAAGCTCCACAAGGTGATGCAACTTTACCATATACATACGACAGCTTCCGAATTCTCGGATTTTAAATGAGCGTGTTGCTTCATGTTGGAATGTCAAAAAAGCCTATTGACATGTCGGGGAATAAAGCATGGGTAATTATACTGCAATGGCAACAAGGGTTAGGGAAAACACTAGAAATCTATTCATGATTTTACCAGGCAAGGCTCACTGGGCTATGTAGATCTTTTTCAGAAGCGACCTGGCCACAAATGATTGCCCAACGAAGTGGCTTATCACGTGGAAATATATAGCAGCCACTCCACTCATTCTAAATGCATGTTGATTCTAAATGTAGAGAGGAAAAAACGGGGGAGAACATGCAAATTCCAAATATACAGCAGCAGGCGTCAGGGTCGGGATCGAACCCACGATCTCCTGTATACCAGGCGAGGTAGTTAACAACTAGCCACCGCGTGGCGTAAGTATTGTGGTTAGACTTCTGCTCCACCTGGCTGGCAGGAAGGAGCGAGGGGTAAATATTCTCACTGATAAAAGGAGGCCCCTCTGTTTGCATTGGGGAGTTGGTGGTACTGTGTCACAGGACAGACCTTTACTCCCCCGAGATAGGAACAGCTATATAAAGTGTGGATTGAGAATAACGACTGATCAGCACCAGGTAGCAAAGTCTGAGATCCTTACAAATCAATTACTCAAGCTGCTCAGTCAGTGTACTTTTAAAGAAACCAAAGTAAATCGGACCTGTAAGAATATTCCACGCTTGTGAACCGATTAACTGTCAACGATTCGTGAGCTGCTATTCTAGAATATATTTTTTTCTTTCTTGTGTGGTGACCACAGAACAGTGCCGGATTAAGCTGGTGCAGGGGCCTGTAGCACATGTTATAAAGGGGCCCTAAATATAAAAAAACACGTAAATATTAAAACACAAATTTTTTACTCGCATAGTAAAGTAATTGTATGTTTTTATTTGCTATACAGCCAGATAATACGACAAATCGCTAACCTTAAACACCCAGTCGCTCATAAAAGTTGAAGGCGGTATAGTACTATAGTGATAGAGCCAGTGCAGAATCACTCAACAGGAATTGACAGCTTGAAAGCGTTTAGCGCGGCGGGGCCCTTGAAAGTGCGGGGCCCGTAGCTACATATGCAGCTACTTTTGCTCCTAGGATAATCCGGCACTGCAACAGAGGGATTTTAAATAAGAGTTTTAGTTCATATGCGGACAAAGATACAATCCTCCTAGCCTTGGCGGCGTTTAGCCATGACAATAGTTGGGATACAATGTGGCTCGAAATCATGTTAGCGCCTCTAGTGGCTGCATGGGTCAAATTACAGTGCACTAAATACAAACATCGCTTCAGCTCAATTGAAATCTAATACTCCTAAACATACATCGAAAGCGTCCACATTTTTAAAAAAATCGATTTTCCATCAATTAACTTGATCTATCATGTCGCCTCTATAAGACGGACACTTGGAAACAGCACCACATTCATGTATTTAGCTATGGCCTTTGAGCAGAGTCCACTTTATAAACCAACATTCCTCCAGCGAATGTAAGTAACAGGAATTAACATGTGGTGCAGTTCTGTACACTGTGCGTGCGGGACTGTATTATAATTCATGGTCTCGTTCCCACGGATATGCATCGAGGCAGCAGGTCTGTGAGAATAAAAGCGCTT